AATTCTGAACTATTTGTGACCATAGATATAGTTAAATGCAATTGAAAATAATCTTTTTCATCTTAGAATATAAAATGACTATGATTTATGGTAATAGTTTCTATTAAATTCAATCTGCTCTGATTTTTTTCATTCACTTTGCTGTAAAAGAAAGCTGGTATTCATGGCTACCTGCTTATAGCTTTACTAAAATTGCTAAGTAAGATTATTTTTATAGTTACTTTGGAGCTTAGGTTTTCTCTCAGGCTCCAAAGTATACTTTTCAAATTATCTTTGCTTTTAATGTTTAGTATGTTAGAAGGTTCTCAATATACCTTTGAGTTTTATGACTTAGAGAATGAACAGGGTACTTGATTTGGTTTTGTTATCTATGATTTCTGTCTCTGATACTGTGTTAGTCAGCCTGTGTCACTATGACCCAAAATACCTGACCAGAACAATTTAGAGGAAGAAAAGTTTATTTTGGGTTCATGGTTTCAGAGGTTCAGTCCATGGTTGACAGACTTCATCGCTCTGGGCAGGAGGTCAGGCAGAATATCATGGTATAAGAGTGTGACAGGGAAGAGCTGCTTTACTCATGATAGCCCAGAAGGAGAGAGAGAGAGAGAGAGAGAGAGAGAGAGAGAGAGAGAGAGGAGCGAGCGTGGGATGAGGATGAAATATAAACCCTAAAGGCACACTGACTTCCTCCAGCCACACCCTTATACACCCTGTGTATAGCTATCACTTAGTATAGTAGTACTTTCAAATCTAATAGATTAATCCACTGATAAAGTTACAGCTTTCATAAACAAAATCATTTCACTGCTTTATTAACATTTCTGCATTAACACAGGAGCTTTAAGGGGAACACTTTATATCCAAACCATAACAGAGTCATTTGTTTGAAAACTGTAGAGCACTTGTTTTTGTTTATTGGCTCACTGAGTATCTCCTAAATTCAACTGAAGTCCCTTGATACAAGACACTCCATAAGGAGATGTTAAGTGTACTGTGTGAATAATGTTTATGGTCAGTACTTCTAGCACATAGGAAAACTGATGGGTTTATGAGATGTCAGCTGTATCCTAAGTCCCAATTTAAATGTACCAGTGTGCTGTTTATCAAGGTTTCTAAAAAGTCAAGTTTGTCAGAGAGAAAATAAATTTTATTCTTCAGGGGCTATGAAGAAAACAAAGCATTGCTGATGGGGACATAGTATTTTTCTTTTGATAACAGTATTTCTAGATGATTCAAATGTTTTGAGGTGGAATGAACAGTCTATTGCAGTGCTATCTCACTTGGAAATGGAGAAGCTAAGATTCAAGGACTTTATATTACTCACAACTTTTTGGTAATAAAGAGATTGCTAAACATCTGGGAAAAAATTCAACAATAAATGAAAATCAAAATAAATTATGTCAAAACAGAACCAATGCATACACATGAATGTACCCCACCCCTCACTCTACCTTATTTGTGACAAGTTTAATGTTCTATTCTTAGGTCTCAAAATCTTCTCTTTTTCTCCTTTCCATCACAATTCAACTTTTTTTAAAATAGAAAATACCCTTTTCCTTCAGTAGAATTCCTCTCTCTCTCTCTCTCTCTCTCTCTCTCTCTTTCGATTGAACTTTTGAGACAGGGTCTAAATTGCTGAGGGTCTCTTAAATTTGCCATCATCCTGCTGGCTCCAGAGTCACTGGGATTACAGGTCTCTGCCACTCTGCTGTTGCCTTTAATTGAATTTCTAAATTATAGGTTTTAGCCTTTTGATGTCATGGACCCTTTGTATTGTTTAGTGAATGCAAGTTTTTGAATATTTTTTAATGCTTAAAACATAAGATTAAAAGGAAAATCAACTAGGACTGAAATACAGCTAACAAAATATTGGAAACTGAATTTATGAGAATCTTATATGTGTTTTATTAAATAACAAATTCTAGTGGCAGTATTATAGCAACTAACACAACTTCACAGTAGTAGTAAGTGTTAAGAACTATTTCAAGGAGTTGCATCAGTTCTAACACAAATATCTGTGACTTCTAGTGGCATTAAAGTCTTAGGTGTTACTAAAACTAATGCACTTAGGGGCAATTAAACATGTAATTTTTTCTCCTTGTACAAGTTCTTCGACCTTATGATAGATCTGCTACTTTTGTGTCTCTTCTGAGTCTCAATGCCCTCCGGGTGGGAATCCCCTCCCACGCTGGCACTGGATTGGCCGTGTGACTGCCTCTGCCCTAGGGGATAGAGTAATCTGATTGCTACGAGCGCTGGGTGTGCCCTCTTAGAAGGCAAAATAATTCTACAGAAAAAAAACCTGGTCTAATCTTTATGAACATGAATCCCCCCAACTGAGCCCAACCCCCCAGCCATGTGAGATGAGCAATCTCCAAATGTGAGAAAGAACGAATGATTTTTAAATCGCTTAGTTTTGGGCAATTCGTTCAACAATACATAAAAGATATGGAACCCTGAATGGGGTATCCACTGACCTTTTGGGCCCCTGATTTAAAACCTAGGTGAGTTTTTCATTATCAGTATTTTCAAGTTTCCACACAAAATTGCCAGCGATCATCCACTCCCTTGCTCCTCAAAGCGTGGGTCAGGGATCCGCTGCATACACACTCCCGGAAATGGTTGGAAATGCAGCATCTCAAACATTACCCCAGACCTACCGAATTAGAATTTGCAGTTTTACAAGATTTTTGAGTGATTTGTGTAAGCATTCAAGTTTACAAAGCACGGGAAAGCATGCGCATTAAAGTTTGAGAAGATAAGCAAACCCCTTATCTTATAATCTTCCATTTCAGAAACGTCTTTGACTCTCTGTAACAGAGAGATTCTATTAAATCAGTGCCTGTTCTTACAGGACTGCGGTGAGATGAAACCTCAGTGCCTCTGTTCAAGGGCTGCAGGTGTGCAGTTGGAGGTCCGGCTACGATGGTCTGTTTTGTGTTAATTGGCAATGTCACGGAAGAGCGGGGAGTTTTAAACACGTGCGGGCCTTTTGAAAAAAATTAACAAATATACGAACGGAACCTCCTAAACAATCAAAACCAAACTAAACCAAAACCCAGGTAGAGAAAATCGCTTTCATAAGTAACTTAGAACGCCTTCTGAAAAGTTTAATACTGGTTTCTTTAAGAGTCGGGCGGGCTATGCGAGTGTAGGACTCTCGAGTATTCTGCAAACTGGGTGCCAACACCTGGGGTCTTGTCCCCAGCAGGAGCACAATAGCTACCCTTGAGCAAGTGTGCGCATATGTATATGGGGGGGGGGGGGGGGGGCGGCGGCCACGAAGTTTGTCCTCAATCAGCTCCCATATAAGGCGGGCCCCGCCCCTACCCAAGGCAGCTCGGAAGCCGCGCTGGCTCCCCCGCGGCGTCTCTAACCAACCGGCTGTTACTACGCATGCCCGGTCCGCTAGACCGCTCCAGATACCTGCACTCCGAGTTTTCCCGCCGCCTATTGGTTGAATCTGCACCCAGCTCAGTGCCAGCTAGGAAGAAAGCTCAGGGTTTCCAAGGTTCTAGAAACAAAGGAGACGCTATTATGATTCTAGTCTAGCTGTAGAATTCTAGGGAAGATGATGGAATAATGATTCGTTGTCTCCGTGGGTTGTGGGTTTGGAGGCATATAATTTCACTTACTGCATTAATTAAGCCCACGGAGTTCCTGATTTTCAGATGAGGCAAAAGCCTCGAGATAGTGTTGGAGCTGGGGCTCACTACCAGTATCCCTGCTACCACTTCTTGAGGGGCTCCCATTATTTGAACAATGGCCAGTGCTGGCCAACTCCTGGATGCTGTAGGAATGTGAAATACCAGTGGGGACATGTAGTGTGTGAGGGCAGAACCTCCCTTTGTGGCCCAGTTAGGGATGTAGGGGCCAAGGCTGACCCGCACATCGCAGGTACTGGCTTTGAGGGAGTGGCAGGGCATTTAGTGGACTTACCAGTTGCCATCTCTTAGGAAGGGCTGGGCTGTTGGTGCCCATCTAACTTGAAAGGGACAGCAAGAGGAAGACAGGTCATGCCTTGATTAATGTGACCAGCAGGTGACCCTGCGGTTCACTGGTGGTCTTTTGGGTTTGTGTGAAAGAATACATGCATGCATGACTAAATGAATAGATTTCATTTTACAATAGAGGGGAGTTAGGTGGAAGCTTACTTACACTGGAAGTCCTAACCTTTAAAAAAGATAACGATGGTTCTCCTAACTCCTTTATGATTTAAACCAAAATTGCTAACTAACATAAATGCAAGCACTTTTACTGAGATCTGATTTCAGCCAATACAACATTCCCTCCTGCATTTAAAACATCTCATACTCTTTTTATTTTCTTGGTACCCGAAATTGAGGGGTCCAAAACACATGCTTGGACATTTATAGAGTCAGCAGAGAAAGACTTAGAGTTCACCGCTAACAAACTGACCATCATCTTCTCTGAAATAATTTCAGTTTGTTCCTCTGTAAAACGGATGAGCTGTAATTCATGCACTGCTGGTAAAGCCAGGTCTTTGTTAATGGTTGAAAAATTCTGTTTTTGTTAATCGGTCTCCAGGATTGTGACCCTAGATGGCAGTGATCGACTCCTCCCGAGTTTTTCAGGGGTGAGGATGAGTTTTTCTCTCGCAATCATCCGCGGATGATCGCTCTCAGAAACTTCCCTGCTGCAGCCAGCAGGGCTGCAACCGGCGATTTGCCACGCCCCTGTGTATCCTGGCCCCGCCCACCTCAGGCTAAGCATTCTGGCTCCGCCCCTTCGCGCCGCCGGAGCCGCCTCCAAACCCCGGTTCTCGGATTTTCCGGGCCGGAGCCGCTCTGGGCATGCTCAGTGGCCTGGCAGGTGGGGCCTCCGCGCGACTCCAGGTCCGGCCCCGAGCCGAGGGGCGGGGGCGAGTGGGAAGTGGGCGGGGGCCGCGGGTTCAGTGGTAGAGTTGCCGGCGGCCGCGAGGCGCTGGCCTGGTGGGAATCCCCGCGGGTCGGACCGGGCCGGGCCGGGCCGAGCCGGGCTGGGATGAGCAATGGCATCTGTCAAGGTGGCCGTGAGAGTCCGGCCCATGAATCGCAGGTGAGTGGGACAGCTCGTCCCCCACCCTTGCCTTACCCCCACCTAGAGGAAGCTGTTCTCTAGCTCTCCTGAGAGGCCAGCGTGAATTTAAGTGTCAGGGGCAAGCTCCCGGCCCACCTGATCCAGGCCGGGGCCTCTGGGGGCCTGGAGAACTTCGTGTTTTGCTGCCTTTTTCACTCTGTCCTGGAGGGAATCCTAAGGGTAAAGAGTTCAAGAGGCCAGGAAGAAGATTTCCTATAAACTGTCCCCAACCCAATAACTTGGGGAAGTTTGCTCGTTTCCCCTTAAAAAGCATCAAGGTTATCACTTCCACGGAGATACTTGGGGGGAACATGGGAATGGTGAGGGGGCACCTTGAGATGTCAGGCGCAACCCTCATTTGTGCCCACTCAGAAGTTCTGTAACTATTAACCACGCTACTTTTTTTAATGTCTTAGAGATGATTTAGAGTTTCGGAATGTGAACCCTAACTTATAAATAGTAACTTAGCAGTTCTTAACCTCGGATGAAAAGAGGGGATAGGAAAACTTTGACTAAAGTTTTGACTCCTGGGGAAAAAAGTCAAGGACACTTTGCCCTTGTTTGAAATAATGCTGAGGGCAAGAATTGTGAACACGTGTAGAATTTAATCTTGTTTTATGTTTCTACTAAGTAATGCTTTTCAGAATTATTTCACTTTTCATTCACTGAAAAGGAACCTGTGTTTCCTTTTCAATGACCTCTTTATAACCTGTTAAGAAAGATACTTTGGAAAAGTTACTTTTTAAATTGGTTTAACTTGAAAGAATGAAGTATACTTAAATGGGATGTCCTGCAAATTGTTAGGCACGGTTCACACAGAGCAATTTGTTTTTATTAATTTCTAAACTGAGTTGTTGGACATTTGACTTACCATATGGCCTCTCCCTTTTAGTCATACTAACAACTCTGGAGGTCAATGTTTGGTCCTTCTGATAGCTGATTAGGGCATCAGAAGATCATAAAATCAGGAGATTTCCATACTTCTTGACTTACCTGAATCTATTTTCTCCATTGTTGAGTAGGAAGTCATTTTTCTGATTTGGAACCATTGAAAATAAGTGCTTTTAGAAATCAGGGTGAGTTTATTTATTTATTTATTGAGGGAATATGTGTGATTTTTTTCAGGTTTCTTCTAAAGCTGTTTAGGGAACAGTTTGACTTTTCTTAAGCCATAAAAGAACATTTATGTTTCTTTTTATATCCAGTCATACAAGATAAACAGACCCCAAAGTCATTTAAATGATTTAAAAATATGGATTTTCATGTATTAGTTGTTCTTTTTCTTCTTTGGAATAATATGGAACATACTAGAAAACTATATTAGATAATTTAGGAAGTATTTATTAAGCACCTACCAAATACACAGCAATGTGCTGGGTGCTATTCAGAATACAAGGTGAATGAATTTTGTCTGATGAGTGTCTTCTAGGAGTTCCCTGTCTGGTGAGGGAGGGATGGTATAATGATATGACTCTAAAAAAACTGGGCCTTCTGGCAAAGGTGCTGTGATTTAAGTGCCTTGACAATATATACCTTAAGCCCAGGTTCATGGATCACTGGCAGAAAACAAGCCCAGAAACCATGTGCTTTGTGGAGGTAGATTGAATTGACATTTTTGCTCAGCAGGCAATTGGTGGCATCAGAATTGGGGCATGACGGAAGGAAGCAGTTGTCTAGGTTAGAGGGGAAATGGGAAGGTGGGATAGAGATACCAAGATAGTTAACTGACATAATTGACAGGATTGGCAGCTCCACCGATCAGAAGGAGGGTTTAGAGGAAAAATGTGGAGTCATTAACTGAGTTTTGATGCTCAAAGAGGTGAATAAGATTTGGGGAATGCATGGTGAAGTTGATGCTTTCTATCTTGGATATGTTGAGTTACACGAAGTATAGTTAAGTGTCACTGAAAAGTGCTATGTGTATATTGAAGGAGAAGATTCATCTCTGCTAGAGGTGTTCATCAGAAGGTTGGAGATTTGTTTTTAGGTCTTAGACCAGGATTGTCATTGGGAGATATTTTGCATATAGGCAACAGTTTTAATGTTAGGTGAGAAAGAAAGGGAGCCAGGAATTGGACATTGGGGTATAACTCTTCTTAGGATTCCAGGGAGAAGAGTGGCTTACAGCAGACAGAGGACAACCAGTCCAGCAGGCTGTCATGGTGGGAAGGGAGAAGGGTCCCCTGAAGACGGCTGTGTTTGGTGTCAAGTGTTACCAAGATGATATGACAGTAAGATGAGGTCCTCGGTCTTCGAGATGAGGATACTGGTAACCTTCTAAAGAGAGTTTCAGGGAGAGTCAAAGATCCAGAATTTGGCAGTAAAATACAAGAGGTATATAGGTGGTCAACCAAAAAATACTTGACCTAATTCATAAAAAAGATGTGCAAGTTATAATGGTAATAAGCAAAAAATTTTTTTTTCCAGTGTGCTTGGCAGATATGAACCAGTGCTGGTAAAGGAAAGGCAAAACAGACACTTTCAAGTTGATAATGGTAGAGGGTCAAAATCTCTGAAACTTTCATGTTGGAAAAATTGGTAGTAATTGTCAAGATTAGAAATTGGACCCTTTAATCTGGGGATTTCATTTCTAAGAATTATTATGGGGATTATATTCCTACCTACCAAGCTGAATATATAAAGATGCTTGCTTGTAACAACAAAACTATAAATGACGTGAATGTAAAAATGTGGGGAATTTCTTAAAATTAAGGTCTAAATCCTATGGTGGAACGCTGTATGCAGCACTTAGAAAAAACATTGATCTTTCAAGCTCTCTAAGATAGGGGATTGAGAAAAGCAAGATGTCCACATTCATACACACATAGTACAGCGGCTTAAAGTTGTGTGTGTGTATGAGTTGTATGTATGTACATACACACACACACAACTATAGCTGTGTGGGACAATTCATAAGAAACGTAACAGTAGTACCTCTAAAGAGGAGGCCTGATGAAGAATATGTGAGGCAAAGATGGAAAGTTTTTTTTCTTTGTTACTGTTTGAATTTTCACATTACTCATGCATACTTTTATAATGAATAATTAACAACTTGTTTATGTAATTTTTAAAAGTTACCTAAAAAGAGCCATTGGTTCTGGAGAAAGAACTTCCTGTTGGTTGTCCATTAGTGGAAGTTGTTAAAAAAATTTTTTGATGGTAATTTTTAGAGTAGTGGAGCCTCAGGCTAGGGGGTGGCAACCAACAAGATTAAAGGGACCTGGAGCTCAGTGTGGATGCTGTTGTAGCCAGAATCTTATGAATGGGGGCAAAATGGTAGGATACTGAGTTTTTGAGTTAGGAGCCTTTATAGTAATCTGTCCTTGTGTGGAACAGGAGTGCATGGTTCCAACCAAGATTTGATGAGTTTATTTGTTTATACTGCCTTATAGCTTATGTGGCAGAAGTAGTCATTCCAGATGCAAAGGAGCAATTATCTTGCTTAGGCATAATAGCAGTCACCTTTATTGAGAGTTTGCTCTCTGCCTGACTCTCTGGCAGGAGTATCAGGTACAGAATCTAATCTTTGCAATGCTTTGAGCAGGTGGAGACTCATTGTTATGCCATTTTACAGAGTGGGAAACATAGCTGCTTAGTCATTTTGGGTGGCTATAAAAAATACCATAAATTGGGTAGCTTGAAAACGGCAAACATTTCTCATGGTTCTGGAGGCTGGCAAGACCAAGATAAGGGTCAGGCAGACAAGGTATCTGGTTAGGGTACCTTGTTGCTGTGTCCTGACCTGGTGGGAGGGGCAAAAAAAAAAAGTCTCTTGGAGGATACTAATTTTATTCACAAGGGCCCTGCCTTCAGGACCTAGTCACCCCGAAAAGGCACCACCTCTTAATATCATCTCAGTGTGGGCTAGGTTTCAACATTGGAATTTTAGGGGGCACAAGCATTCAGACTATAGCACAGTTAACTTGCCCAAAGTCACAACTATGCTTTTCAAATGAGTAAATCTTTAGCAGAAACTTAATTGTGTTCACAATTTTGGGGGCAGAAGTTTAGCAATTTGTATATTATTATACACATTTTTTGTGACTTCTTCTTTGTTCTTATTTATGTCTAGTCTTTTTTAAAAAATTGGTTCAATTTTTGCAATTTTATAGGTTTAATTTATTTTCCTCTGAGGGGATAATAAAATAATAATTTGGTAACTAATTGGTCTTACTTCCTTGTTTTCTTATGGAAAAATCTAGGTGATCCTTCAGGGCCATCTCTTCCACCCCATTGGTTTGACAATGTTGAAAGGGTTAGGGTCTTAAGACAGAGTGCCTGGGCTAAAATTTTGCCTGTTATTTATGAACTGGGTAAATTTGAGCAAGAGACTTAATTGTTTTAAATCTTAGGGTTTTTTTTTAATCAAATGGTAATAGTAGTTACATATAGTTTTCTAAGTTATAAAGATGAGGTTTCCTCCCTACATGTTTTTGAATGAGAAAATACATTTTAAATTGTACATCTTGTAGAGAGGAAAAAGGACCCATGAGGTGTACATGAATTATATGCAATTCATTCTTATACTTGCTATTCTACCTTACTCTGTTGTTTCATTAACAAATGCTGTTTGTAGATCACTAAATAGATTTCAGGTTGGAGCTATGCATTGCAGTTGATAATGTGAAAAAAAATGCAGTGTGAGATTCAAATGAGGGAATACTTGAGGATCAAGCTTTCCATATGGTACCTTGTATCTAGCAGAGGCTCCAGAGATTTCTTGTTGGGCCAGGGGTGTGGCTTGTAGTAGAGTGTTTGCTTAGCATGGTTGAGGCCCTGGGCTTCATTCCCAGAACCACCACCACCACCACCACCACCACCACCACCAAAATAAGTAAATAAATAAATAGATAAACAAACAAATAATTAAAAATTAGCTATTACTATTATTATTTTTATAGTTTAATGACTGTACCTTTATTCAAAAACAAATATTAAAAAATGTTTTACCAAAAAATATTTATCAAGGACTGGCAGTG